GATATCTCCGGCAATTAAGAGACCCGGCGATCTGGGAAAAAAATATTTAGCCTTCACCACTTTTTCTCCTTTTTTTTTTGTGAAATTCCCAAGGTACGCCAGGCGGTAATGTCTTCATTTTTAGGATAAAGAGCAATTTATATCCGTAACCATTCATTATGTTTATAGTAGAATTTTCAACATTAATTAAGGTTTGAACGTCTCCTGCAAAATTTATTCGTCATGCGATCATTTCTACAATTTTTCTAACAGAAAACATTCTAGATAAACACAATATATATTTTTTTACATATCTTTATATAAACTATAAGTTCGGAGACCACGAACTTCCCAACCCTCCGGACATTTGCTTCGTCACATAAGTTTTCCTACCCAATCTCTATCATTTTAGCTGTTGTGACGTCACTGAGTCGAACGCGCGCAAGGATGACAAGAGAGGCAGTTTTCTGTTTACCAGCTTTGTGCAAATACACATTGAATATATTTTTATTGAACATTTGTTTCCAATCAAGAATTTCAATATTGTTTATTGTGATAGTGAATAATAATAATTTCGATGAAGTACATATTTTTGTTTCGAGAATATCTTTATTTTTAGTATTATATATTTGTGTTTGTTAGTGACCTGATTTTTCATAATTTAGTGGAATCGTGAGAAGTGGTGAACAATGAGGTAATTTAGAAAAAACACCTTGTTCATTTTTTGTCGACGTTTCAAACTTTATTCGAGTCATCTTCAGCGCTTAAATTGTGGTGCTATTCTCGTGGTATCACATTAGTTTAGTCATACTTTTACAACACTTTCACACAAAACCAATATAACACCACAATATAAGCATCACACTTTATGCCCTGAAGATGACCCGAAAAAGGTCGAAACGTCAACAAAAAACGAAAAAGTTGATTTTTTTAAAACTACCTCATTCTTGACCGCTCTCTCGACTTCAGGAAGGTATTTATTTTTCGTCGACATTGTACCGTACGTTTCTACATATCTCATATTTTTATAAAATAACTAATAATTTTATTTTTAAGGGGGCATCCGACAGCTTTGTCATTTCAACCCCCAAGCGTATGGGAAATATTACAACACACATTCAATACGCATTCACACAAATAAATACATTCCCACCGGGATTCATCCTATTTAGTGGATGGGGTACTCAATATTCCTCCATTGACCTCCATACAATAAAAAATTAATCTAAGTCCTTTTTAATTTGATAATATAAAAGTAACCATAACAATCATCTGATATCTTCAATATTTTTATTTATTAATGGAATTATTATTCGATGGGCCATATAAATATTCCGACATCGACCCAATTAAAGTACACAGCTCAAGAAGTGATGGAGATGCTATTTCACCATAAGCCCCTCTCCATTCACTCTAATAAATATACTCATTCATACAAAACAAATATTTTGACGGCTATACAATAAAAAATTCCCAATTTCCCTAAATAGCGACCCTGAAACTCGCTTCCGTGTCCGACAACCATTCTTAAACCGAGCGGCATGCCTACACGCTCTCTTTATAGAGCCAAGGCACGAAACGCCTCTATTATGAGGGACACACCGACCTACCTTTCTCTCCATAAGGGGCACCCGCGCGGGCTACCATCTATTATTGAGAGAATTGTGTTCGCTGGATATTATTTATTGTTTAATATTCATTAAAGGAGGAAACAAATTGCAGGTATTATCCTAAAAGCAGTGAACAAAAAATATACATTCCGTTAATTCATGTTATTTGCAAACATACCGCCCACCAAAATTTTCTGATACTATACGATCTAATATAAACTTACCCAAGCTTTATCGTTTTATCTTTTAGTAAATAAGTAACAATTTAACTTTATAATTTTGAAGGTATTGCTTTTGATTAGGTCCTTTTTTTAATTTAATAATGTAAAAGTAACCATAACAATCATCTGGTATCTTTAATATTTTTCATTTTTTAATTTGTGATTTAAATATTAACCAAAGTAGAGTAAGCTTGTAGAATTTTATTATGTTTGGATGAAAAAAAAAAAAAAAAACAGAAATTCCGCGGAGGGCGGTGAGATTCGAACCTACGACGGCAGAGCTTACGATCCCAATGTCTGACAGCCACTGGGGTCTCTTGAAAATAATCATCTAATATCTTCAATATAGAATTTTTATTTTTTATCTTTTTTATGTGTTTTTATGATTTTCATATTAGACAAAACAGAGTAAATTTGCAGAATATCATAGGTATTGGGGTCAAGAAACAAGCTAACCATTTATTATTGGGGCATTACTGTTCTATGGGTACCTTTTATTGTTTAATATTCTTTAAAGGAGGAAACAAAATGGAACTATTATCCTAGAAGCTGTGAAAAAATATATGTTTTATATATACATTCATGTTACTTACAAACATACCGCCCACCAAAATTTAATAACGTCATAGAAATGATCCAAAACTTGATTGGAGACCAAATTGGTGGTTGAGTTTAAAAATCTGAATTTATCTTTATGTAAGGCATTGGTTGAAAACGTTAGTGTCATGAGCGGGGTTCGAACCCACGACCTTCGGCTAAATACGCCGCTGTTCTACGACTTCGATCCTCTCGAGGTTCGAATCTCGCTCGTGACACTAGCTTTTTCATTTCAACAAAAACTTTACATAAAGATTAATTAATTGAAATTGCGAAGTATATTGCATGAATGTGGTAATGTTAAAAAAAAAAAAAGTTAAATTATGAGTTCGGTGAAGGGATGAGTCTGTAGGTTGGACATGGAGGATTATCCTGTTCCGGTCCCACCTTTCTGGTTCGGTCAGACAGTCGTGAAAAATGTTGCATAGAAAATCAATTTTTTTTTTCGTCTAGAACATTTTCATACTGAGAAAGTATATATATATCATGTGGACAGGGTAGCATTTTCAAATCTGGATGTTATTGTACAGTCCTTACTTTACCAAAGTGGAGATTTTATTTTTAAGCTGGCACCGCGTATTGCACGACTATAAAAAGAGCTCGCGTTGTAAACACACAAACACAGCCGGACCGAAGAGTGGCACAGGGCGAGAATGGGCCAACAACTTGAACTGTATATCATGGCGGTACGACCCTTGCCAAACCCCCTGTAAATATCACCAGGGCGCGGTTTTATATATAAAAAAATAATATAAAAAATCCTTGTCCCGGGAGTTTTTAAAAAACATATATTTTCATCAGCCCGTCACGGAGAAATTTATATTCATTTCGTTGTTACACCAGAATAAAGAGAGGGCTGGCGGCCATAAGCCCTCTCAAATGACGAGCACTCTTCAGGGATAAAAATTACAGAAGAACTCTTCTCTTCCGTTATTTTTTTTCCTCTCCGACCGGATTTATCATCATTGTTTCAATATTCAATTATTTTATTTTAATTATTAATCTTGAACGTTTAAAACATATTAAAAATTACTTACATATTGGGCCATGCTAAACCTCCAAATATCCAGCGAATTCAGTCGTTCCAAAAAAAAATATTCAGAATTATGGTCAACGTCTCTACTACATTTGATCACACGACATTTGAAAAATGGCAAAAAGGAGGAAAAATTCAAACGGTGCGGTTGAGATGGAAAGTTAGTGTCCGAGTGGATCGAGGTGGTAGCTCAAGTGGTAGAGCAGCGGCGTATCTAGCCGATGATCGTGGGTTCGAATCCCGCTCATGCCATTGACTTTTTTATCTCAACTAAAAACCTTAATTAATTGTAATATATTAATTGGTCAAGTTGAAGCTGACCAAGCAGAATCTGAATAATTTATAGATAGTAATGGAAGTTATATCGATTAAATATATTTTCTTGAAGTGAAATGGTAGCTTGCTTTTACTGAACACCAAAAACAGGCATTATTTTTGCATCAACCCTGTTTACGCCAATGTAAACATTTTTATTTATTAATAGTTAATTAAGAAATCGTCATTTGTTATCTTAAATTTATCATCTTGAAAAATTGTGAAAAAGGAAAATTTGTAAGGATCAAGACGCTGGAGGAAGAAACAGGTCAATTTTCAGGAAGACGTCGTAAAAAGAGTGAGTCACTGCCTGGGTTTCAACCTGTACGCACGAACGTACATCAGCTGTCTTCAGCCAGTCACTCTCTGGTTCTCGACCTGTACGCACAAACGTACAACAGCTGCCTTCAGTCAGTCACTGCCTGGTTTTCGACCTGTACGCACGAACGTACAACAGCTGTCTTCAGCCAGTCACTCCCTGGGTTTCAACCTGTACGCACGAACGTACAACAGCTTTCTTCAGTCATTAACATCTGGTTTCCGACGGGTACGAACGAACGCACCTTTGACTTCCAGTCGTTGCTCCCAGATAATCACCAACTTCTCGTTCTTCCCTGTCGTGAGTTGACAACAAGGCGTACGAACGTCCTTAGTCATTTTCTTCTCAACATTGTCATTCTGTACATCAACTTATCTCTCTCTACATAGCTATATTTCTTCTCGTTAACTTTGTTTGTTTTCTGGCCAGATTATAGTTTCCGTATTTATGTCATAAATTGTGAATTAATAAAATTAATTATCAAACGAATTATTAAACTACTTTTTATCCATCAAGTCCTTTAAACTATCTCTGGTAGCGCCGGACTTGGAGGGTAGATGTCCAATACTTACTCCCGCCGGCGTCTACGAAACAAACCCAATATGATAAAACAAAAAGATCACAAAATTTGTTCTTTTACAGATAGTATTGCATATTTTATTAGAAAAACAACAACAACAACCGTTACGAAAAGCATTTTTTTAAACATCTACCCTCTTTCTTGTTGTGAATAGAAAAATGACTTTTTGTTTTATTTATATCTTTTCTTGTGAGATAAAGCACTGTTGCCGCCGGGCTTTATGTCACCACCTTTCAGCCGGTTTACCCTTTTTCATCAGGAACCCTTTGATTCCGGAAAGTGTTTGTTCAACTTTCACGTCGTCTCTTTTTGAATTTTCTCTATTCAATCTACGAGTACTCACCCTTTTTCGATGCGTGAAAGCTATCCTCTTTCGAAACATATTGGATATCGTAAACGAGCGTCGACTTCGGTAGAAGATTTTTATCCTTGTTGATCCTGTAGACTGCATACTTGAAGGCCAATTCGGTCGCGCTTTCTTTCTGCTCCTGTGTGAATATTGCTCCTGGAACACAAAAAGCATGTAATCTATAACGTTTCTATACCAAATATTTTTTATGGGGAAGAAAAGTAGGTTTTTACTCAGACAAATGCTTTAAAAGTCAAAAGATTCATTTTTGAAACCCCAAATACGAATTAATCACTTTTGCAAATCAACCGTTTAATCCCTGCCCGTGGAACGGAGTTAGCAAGGAGTTTAAGGAGATAATATTGAGTTAAAATGTAATTGCACAAGTCCATCAAAAGGAGTTAACTCCGTTACCACTTCCGTTCGTCCCGCGCTCAGGGCTAAAAGCCATCCAGACGGACACCTGTACTGGCCCGGGACGGGAAATTGCTAATCGGGCCGTAATGAAGCGATGCTAAACCGAATTACCTCGAAGTTGCTTCATCTTGCTTCTAAGTTGCTGACACGGGGTGTGAAGGGATTTCCAAAAAGGGCAGAATGTAAATGCAAGGGAACAATGAAAAGAAAACATTCTGACGAATTTACATTTATTAGGTGGTCCGCTTGGCCATATAAATTCTTTTCAATTACTGAAGGGTTTTGGTTGAGATAAAAAAGTCAGTGTCACAAGCGGGATTCGAACCCACGACCTTCGCCTAGATTCGCCGGTAATTCACCACCTGAGCTATCGTGATTTCGATCCACTCGGAAACTAACCTCCCATCTCAACCCCACCTTTTGAATTTCATTTGAAAATGGCAAAAAGGAGGAAAAATTCGAAAGGTTGGGTTCAGATGGGAAGACTATACTATGATTGATTTACAAAACCCAATTGTAAACACAAGTGGAAGATTTTATACGTATTTTATATACCTATAATTCTTTAAAACGCAAAAAATATTTCTGTAAAATAATTGACAGAGGATTGTCTAAGAGATAATTAAACATATTAAGAGTGGCTACTTTTTTGACTAATTTTATTACTACTTTTTATTTTTGTTAAAATTAGCAGATTCACTTGAAAATCTTTTTGTTGAGGCTTGTCATTGGTAAATTTGTTTGTAAGTTGGAATTAACCCTGAAGCAACATGACTACTACAATTCAACAATTTTCTTTCTTTTTTTTGTATTCTCGTCTTTTCGGATTATTGATTACTTCAATCTACCTATGAACAATGAAGCAATAGTAGGTTTTTTATTGTATGTTCAAACCCATTATATTTCGTGGTCCGGTTGACCAAATAACTTCTTTCAATTAATTAATCTTTATGTAAGGTATTTGTTGAAATGAAAAAGTCAGTGTTACGAGCGGGATTCGAACCCACGACCTTCGATCCACTTGGACACCAACTTCCCACTTGAAACGAATTTTCCCTCATTTTTGCCTTTTTTCAAATGTCGTGGTTCTAATCCCGGTCGTGACACTGACTTTTTAATTTCAACAATACCTTACTTAAAATATTAATTTTTGAAAAGAATTCATTTCGTCAATCGGACCGTGAAACATAATTGATTTAATAAGCAAAAATGAAGTATTCATTAAAGCTCTCTGAAGCCATTTTATTTGTCCCCGAGAATCAAATAGATTTCACGACATTTGAAAAATGGCAAAAAGGAGGGAAATTTCAAGAGGTGAGTTGAGATAGGAAGTTAGTGTCCGAGTGGATCGAGGTCACGATAGCTCAAGTGGTAGAGCAGCGGCATATTTAGCCGAAGGTCGTGTGTTCGAATCCCGCTCGTGACACTGACTTTTTTATCTCAACCAAAAACCTTAATCAATCGAAAAAATTCTGACCAATATTTCGTTACTTGTATCGAATCTAACTTTTTAGTATAAACTTACACAAAGTTGAATATCATTAAATAAAAATGACGGATATGTAGATTTCTTGGAATTTGCAAGTTTGAATGATCAAGCAGTTTGATATAAAAAACCGATATGGCTTTTGTAATTCCCTTAAATTTTTCAGTTTCTCACTGACGATGGCGAAAATCAAAACCAGCCGGAACAAACTGACGCTGTACTTTTTGAGCCGTAATAGCTATAGCCAAATAATTACAGTAATAGTTTTGATAATAATTCGACATAATTATTGGTATAGTAATAATTCATCAAAAGCATAGACGATTATTCACTGTCTCTTTCTCACTGTCTCTTTCCCTCTCACTCTCTCTCTCTCTCTCTCTCTCTCTCTCTCTCTCTCTCTCTCTCTCTCTCTCTCACAGAGATGTGACTTAACATAAGTTTAAGGTTATTGGAGCTGAACCAGCCAAACTTGATTAAGAAAGTTATGGATATTTTTTCGACTACGTTAAAATGCCTAAATTCATTCTGAAAAAATGTGAATTATTTTACAATGAAATATTAATTTGCAATAATTAGTACAATCACAGACTCAATTTATATTTAACTGTAAAAGTATATAAAATCAAACGAATTCTCATATTTCTACTGGTTTCTATTGGCTTTAAAGGTAAATCTTAGTATTTTATCTTATTTCTTACGCACGAAGTAGTCCTGAATAAAATATTCGTTATTCACGAGACGCATCTTAATCATATCACGTCGCAGTTATTAAAAAACAACCTGATACAATAAAAAATATACAAAAATAGCCTAAAAATCTCGCACTAAAAAGGAGGCCTTTTCAATTTGGTTTAGTGAGTTTACTTGGCGGCAAGTCTAATTGGATAGTTACATTAACTTTACATCGCTGAAGTTGGTCAAATTAAACAAATTCCGAAACTACTGTTAGTTTGACCTAAGGGACATGCAATGTCATGAATAGAGCTGCGATTTATATGCAATAAAAACAGACAAATATGCACTAAAAATATGCAAAAACTACCATGAGAAAAAATATGGAAACCTCATATTAAAGCACATATTTGTATTGAAAAGAGAAAGTGGCACGAGGAACATCACATTGCTAATATTAAAAAAGAAAAACGCATTAAAAAAAAGTTAAATTTCAAAAATTCGTCGTCTTATCCATCGACACCCAGATCGGTCCATTTTCGTTGAAATCTCTGATTTTATGGAGTGTTTCATAGATGAGGTGAGATTTCCTGAGGGTACTTTCGTGGGAAATGGTTTTCCCTGTGTATTTCTCAAAAAAAAGTTGATGGTTTAGTTTATGGATGGGTATGTCAGCTCTAACTAAATTTAATACATAAATTGGTATCGAACTCGGACTTTACAAACCCAGCACTGAGCAGCTTGTGTCACAAAGGTTTGTTGAAACTTAAACTTCCTTTGGTTTCCTCGTCTTTTGCTGTCTTTATGTGCTGTGTTACCAAAAAATTTATAACTGTTGATACATGATTTATGGCAACAAACCAGTCCAAAAGTCCGTTAAAGTCTCAGTTGAAAACTTACGCACATACTTTTGAACATGATCTTTCGTCTTTGCGGTGACTTTCGGCATTTTAGGAGTAATCACAACACACAAATACCGATATGCTGGTTATGTAAAAAAATGTGCAATCATAACCCACTTGTGCACAAATATGCATTTATGGCAATATATGCACAAATATGGAAAATAAATAAAGGTTAAAATGATTCCAAATGCTTCAAACATATACAGTTTTAACTAATTAAGGTTTTTAGTTGAGATAAAAAAGTCAATGGCACGAGCGGGTTCGAACCCACGACCTTCGGCTAGATACGCCGCTGCTCTACCACTTGAGCTATCTTGACCTCGGCCCACTCGGACACTAACTTCCCTTCTCAACCCCACCTTTTGAATTTTCCGTCCTTTTTGCCATTTTTCAAATGTCGTGTAGATTTTCGGATTATCTACGGAAGAGGTCAACACAGGGAAAAAACTTCCTTTCAGTTTTCGCCGAGCTTTCGGCAGTTTTTATACTGTCATCTTCAGGGCCTGTTTTATTATCATACAAAAATAACAACTAAAAACATGAAAAAACAATTGCACAAAAATTGAAAATTTTATATATCTTACTTTAACCTTAATGGGGAAATAAAAAGAAGTCGTGGGCACCGAAGTACATTACGTTTTTTGGTTCTCCGCATCTAAACATTATTTAAAATTTAATAAGTTAATAATAAAAAAAATTACAAACTTAAGTACAAATGAAAACGTGGTCGAGAAAAGGTTACCTCGTAAAAGTCTAAAAAACTAGTAAAACACCTTTGTTTTCAGGTACATGCGATCACAGCGTGTTTCTTATACATATATATATATATATATATAATTAACTTTTCTTACATTTAAATATTCTACATTAAGATCACAGATTAAAAACAAACCCTCTTCGACGAGAGGACCCCGACAAAATGATGGCAACAACAACAAAAATGTCGTGTAATCTATTTGATTCTCCACGACAATTGAAATGGCCCCGGAAAGCTTTAGTGAAGATATACTTCATTTTAACTTATTCACTTCACTAGTTTTCGTGGTATCTTTTAATTACTTAAGGTTTTTAGTTGAGATAAAAAAGTCAATTTGAAAAATGGCAAAAATAAGGGAAAATAGAAAAGGTGGGGTTGAGATGGGAAGTAGTGTCCAAGTGGATCGAAGTCACGATAGCTCAAGTGGTAGAGTAGCGGCGTATCGAGCCGAAGGTTGTGGGTTCGAATCCCGCTCGTCACATTGACTTTTTATCTCAACTAAAAACCTTAATTAATTTAAAGATATTAATTGATCAAGCGGACCACGAAAACTAGTGAATCATATACAGTTTGTTAAAACTGGATGTTTTAGTTAACCAGGAAAAATATACAAATGCATATTTCACAGTTCTAATCATAAACGAGCAGAAAATGTTTCCACGCTCACACTTTTGTAACACAATAAAGCTTAGTAATATTTGGCAAAATTGCTTCCATTCAAAATAAAATAAAACTATGCCAAGTCATTTTAAATATATTTTGATATTATAAATTACTATTTGTTTTAAATTTTACAAATGGAAAAATCGAGAACATATCTACGAACTGGCTCGGGAAATTGAAACGATTAATTATATCCAATATTGTTCTTGCCTTGACAATTAAATGGCCACCAAATGGGTCTGGTGAGAATATA